AATGCTCATTGATTTTTGGGTGTAGATGAAAAGAAATGACATTGTGCAGTTGAAGCTTTTTCATCATTTCCAATATATCAGACAAAAATCGTTGAAAATAGCAGTCATTATTCTCTCCGAACTCCTAGATGTAGTGCTCACTAGAGAGAAGTTAAATTCGAATAGAATTCATTTCTCGAGATCTTGAAAAAGTGAGAAGGAATTTCTTAAACGATCAGATTTATTTGACTTTAGAAAATATATGATTTGTTGCAGGATAAGAATGAATAATAAATATGCTAACAGCATCTGGCAATAGATTGAACCTATATCTCATTTAATTGAACAATCAATTGGTGATTTATATATGTGATTGAAGATCTATCAAAGAGCTACCAGATACATAATTGCCGTAGTATTTTGTCTTGTCTACTTCTTAAATTCAGTCCACCACGACATGCTGAATTATTAGAACAATAACCTAAAACGCATTATGTTGTTGATAGCTTTTAGGTTTCATAATTTGAGTGAAATCTCATAAAACAGGTATATAATTTAATAGAGTTGACCAAGAAAAGTACTGGTGGGCCGATATGACCTCTTATACGCCCTCTTCCTTTATAAACTTTATTATTTTGTTTTTTGAATTCTCATAAAAAGGATGATTACTAGATCAATATTTCATATGAAAATATTTATACTAAATTTATGCACACGTGTGATTAATTGATGTATAAGAGCACGTTCCTGTTTGTAAATCTTTCGTTCTTTATATGAAAAATAAAACGATCATACAAAACTATGACCTTGAATAACTTGTGTTTTTATTCTTTTCTTTCTTTCTTTCTTCTTCATGCAATTATGTGCTTAACATAATGCTTTTTTTCAAGCATAGTTTCAGTAGTGGGGAAAGGAAAAAGTAAGTTGACGGTTGACAGTGATAGATAAAAAAAATGGAGAGAATTATGAAGCCCATGGTAAAAAAATGTGTGGAAAATATTTATTTATCTTATGTATTGATTATCATTTGTCTATCCGATTGGTTTTATAAATTATTTCAACTATTAATGGGTTTGAATTTTTTAAATATTACTTCGTATTTTCAATATATTTTTCATTTATGGCAAATAAACAAAATAATAGCAACGTTAATTATGATTATTTGTTTATTTGGAATACCGAAATTTATTGTTTTTTTTCGAAAGATTTTTAATATAATACAGCAATTTTTAAAATCAATAATCAAGAAGCCAATTATTATAAATGTACCAGTTTTAATATATTTATTTATAATTATTTTTAAACTTTATTTATTTTCATTAAAATTTAGTAATATTAATTATAATGAACAGATTTCATTTAAAAAATCAAAAAAGAAAAATTATTGGAAAGGTATTCAAAAAAATTTACTTGTCTATCGTTATTCTACATTGATAACAAGTATTCTTTTCATATTTGGTATATATACAATAATTAATAATAATTTGACACGACGAATTTCAAAAAGAGTTTTTTCAATATTATCAAAAAACATGAAAATTATTATAAAATTTCTTTCAATTACAATACCAACACCAGTATCTTTCCTAATTTTATTATTTTTAAACATAATAATTCAATTAATTTCTAATTTCAAATTTAAATTTTCAAGTTTGTTAATCAATCGTTTAATAATATTATATATTATTATTATATGCCTGTGTTTTTATGCACTTTATAAATATTTTTTGCCAACAACAAAATTTGATTTAAATTTTACAGGTAATATCCATTATATAAATATTTTTAGAACCCATATTATGTTTAGAAGAAAAATATAGTGATAAAAAGCGTGAAATCTACAGGTAGAATAATGATGATATTAAATTAAGAAAAAACAAAAATGAAAAGATTGCTTCTCTGATGATCGATTATATTTGTAAAACAACTATAGTCTGCTAGAGACTTTTCATTTTACATAGTTTCTATTAGCACAATGAGACTAAAGAACACGTGTGAGTTTCATATTTTAGTCTCGAAGAAGCCATCATGGATGGCGAGGCAATCATCCAAACTTGTACCTGCTGTTTGAGTATTATATTGGGTTCAAAAGAGATATCGTTGAGACTAGAAAAACCCTAAAAGAGTTCGTATCCATGTGCCTCTGGAGCTAAATCATGGCCGTTTTACTGAAATTTTGCTCATAAATAAGTCAGATAACCGGTAGAACACTTTTGAAAGTTTCAGACGAAAACAATATTCCGTTGTTGAGAATATTTTACTGGTTATCCGACCTATTTACGGGCGAAATTTCATCATTTGATTTTTCGATATATATTTGAAACTGGGTCGAAGAATCAGTAAAATGGTTATTTGCCCATAGGCAGTACCCTCATACTGCAAGATAGTCAAAAGAGAGGCATATTCTCTTTTTATTCTTCGTAGTACCAAAGAGGTTGCGGTGGCCAGCTTTTTTTGTTGATATAAAAATTTGATTTAAATTTTACAGGTAATATTTATCTAAATGATATATCAAAATTAAATGAAACTGAAATTTATTGTTTATTTTATCCTCAAACAATAAATGATATTGAATATTTAATATCAAAAGCTGAATCTCAAGGTAGAACAATATCTGTACGTGGACAAGCACATACAATGGGTGGACAAACATTACCATTAAGAAA